CAAATTCTTCCAAAAGTCAAAGGGGGGCTCAGACATAGTACCATTGCGGATTCCGGATTCTCTACTGAATCTTGCAAATCAATCAGATCCAGTGGTAGTGAAATACAAGCAGGGCTTAAACCGTACAATCCCTATGGTACAGCAAAACCAAGCTTGACCTTCCCCAGGGGCACATTCGAGTGCACGTGAGGGTCAAGAGAAAAATACCCCACCATAGATACCAGTGGCAACCCGGCCTTATGATGATCAGAATGAGGACTCTTCCGAGATGATTCGATCTATTGAGGGCCATACCCATAATGCTGAGGATACTACCAATGACTCGTTCAGCCCAGCCACCAACACCAATAACGCTGACGACCAGGAATCCGATAGCACTGCTGAGAAGAGCAGAAATGATGATGATGATGATGATGAGGAGGAGGAGGAGGAGGAGGAGGATGATGATGATGGTGCTGACGATAATGCCAATCAAGCTAGAGCTGAGCCAATAAGAAGACACTCCGTGGTCAGATTTCCTTCACTCGAGAAGCGCTCTAAGCAACTTAACGACGTCCCTTCTTCATCATTCAAACCTACAAAGAGGATACAAACAAATAACAGTTATGAAGAAGAACTGGCTCTGTTTGATGACTGTGAAACCTTCCAGGAAATAAGCTGAACTCCAACCCAAGGATCAGGAGCTGACCTTGTCAGTTCTCAAGTAGAAGTCGCAGCATCTGGTTGAACTGCGCACTCACGACCATCTCCCAACCACTCTTCAACCTCCCAACATGCCGGAGTTTCAACAACACAAGTGGAACTTACACTGACCTCTCTGCCCCCTTTCGAAGCAGTTGAGAGACTTAGTGGTAAACAGCCTCGGACCACTACCCCCTCTTTCAAACACATCGAGTCTAGGTGTCTCATTTCCCACATTTTTGATTTTTTCTAGGAGACCTACACTATTCACCGCACATAACACATGTACACTCACCCTGAATGCAACGACCAGAGTGCAAATAATGATTGTCGGAAGTCCTGCTACGCAACAATCATTCCATCATTATCTACAGGCCACACATCGGTACTCTTTATTGATGATGTGAGAACGGTTACCACCCATGTAACTGGCAACCCTGACCCTATAGACTTTACTGATCTTCTGAATCGCTATCTTGAGTCCACCAAAATGCCACGGGTGCACGATGAAATAACTGCAAGAGCACAAGACCTTAGACAAACCCCAACGGCTCAGAATAATAAAAATCAACCACAACCAACACCCTCTCACTCACAACCAAAATCAACCCCTACCCAATTTATACCCACATCTGAACCATCCACTACCAAATCCCAAACACCTACAACCTTTAGGGAAACCCATGATACTGAACGCGTGTCTTCCCCTGCCTCAACCACATCCTATCCTAACCCTTACACCATATCATTAGATGACCTAATTAACCACAATCATGCTAGCTAGACTTCTCTCATAAGAAGATAACCTCAATCCCAACCAACTAAACCATCTACGTCTACTTCAAACAAAAAAACACATGCCGTGAAAGTCTCTGCGGCAGCAAACGTTCACATGAGCACCCTTATGACTCGGCTCCTCATGGGGGGAAGAATAAGCGGCAGCGGACACTTGAGCATGATGCTTCCACTAGCCACACTTAACTGCAACCAAACCAACCTTCTTCCTCAAACAACCAACAACCAACATCCTTCACTCAACACAAAACTCACACCTCTAAGCCCATAACCTCTAGCTTGATCGAGCTAGATAGAACACTCTGAGGCACATCTCTCATAGATGTTGACCAAGGACGGAGTGGAAGTTCTGAGGTTGCTACTTCTAGTACATCCGTCTATTCATGCCATTAGTCAGCACCCAGTTTGACTTTGATGATAACGGGCAATCCCAATGATCCCGTATTTACTTCCTGCAGGACACCACAGCAACAACAAGCTTCCTCAAATATTCTAGTTCAGTCGATTCATGATAAACTTGAACTGTATGCCATAGACGCTGAATGGAATGGAATCACAACTGAGGTTGACGCAGATGACATGTAAACCACCTACCTTTTTAGAGAACTACTGGCTGAGTGAGTTGCTGACTTAATTGAGCTTGATGAAGATGAAATCAAAGAAGGGGAGAATTATAATGAGGCTCCTGTTGAGCTACCCAAGGTGATCAGAAGACCAGGAACACTTCCATCCAAAAATGAGAAGCCTTGGGAAAACATCATAATCACCGCCCCCTTTCAAGAAGAAATCAGAAAGCATATCTAGAGAAAACCTGAGAAGATTAAGCATCTAGATGAACTAAAAGCCCGAGGTCTTACCCATATAAAGGTAAAACAAATCGGTGGACATCTTCACATGTTAAGTCACCGATCAATGGGCAAACAACGTGAGATCCTGAACCACAATCTACAGACCTGCAAGTCCCCCATCTGGAACACTCTAGACGTGTCTGAATGAGATCACACAGGAATAAAGTTGTACATCTACTAAATTCAACGCACTGAAGGAAGCGAGTTCACATGTCAGGAGAATGACTTCTTTATACTCAAAATGGACGGAATTTATCAGATGTTCATGGAATACGAGAATCTCCACGTCAGAAGTAGCAGAGTGATGAAAGAAGGGTATGATGCGATAAAAAGATTCATGACAAGGAAAGTTCGAGTTCACGCATCACATGATCTTCAGATGGCCCTGGAAAACAACATCGCAAAGGCAAATCTCACCGGGCCAATATTATATGGACCGGAGCTTGAGCAATTTCCACCTTACCACATTTTTGACAAGCCCGTCACAATAGTCTACTTAAATCATGAAGCAAAGAAGCTCCTGATGAAGATTGAAGAGACCAAAAAATATCGTGATGGGACTTTGAAGATCATCAAGGATAAGCTGAGCCCGCTGAAAGAAGAAATCGAACGAAAACTTGCTGATGCATCTGAAGCTGAACTAACAAAATTTGACAGAGTCTCCAAGGTGCTAGGAACTATGAAAGAACAACTTGATAAACGACGATCTCTTCGTCAATATGAGCACACTCTACCCTGAGGAAGAACTACTTCAAGAAACAGAAGTAATGACCAACAAGACAACAATTGATCACAAAGGGGGAGATTGTTGAAGACACTGTTATTGTGATCAAGTTGTTATAATTAGTCTTGTTTTATTTTACCATTTATGGTATTTACTTGTAATAAATAAAATAGGCTTTAAAGGATGAGGGTCATTTATGTGTAAGGCCCAAATCCCTAGGTTAGCCTTTTTAGGCAAGCGGATGTACACCCTACGCATATAAATATGCGCTTAGGAGTGAGTGTACATCACCTAACTTTTTGAGAATACACAGTAACCGCACTCCTGAGAGTTTTCGATATACGAGAGAGAGAGAGAGAGAGAGAGAGAGAGAGAGCAATTTCATCTGTTCAAATACTTCATATCATTCTAAATGAAATTTCTCTCAATCTTTATTTCTCATTTGTGCATCCATATCTGCTAGATTAGCCACAAAACAGGGACCAACAGCCTCCATCAGATTCTTCTTCTTCTCTTTTCTCTGATAATAATCGTTGTTACCAAACCCTAACACTCGACCATGATCCAAATCTGGAGCTCAAGATGGTCGCCGCACTCATTCTCAGATCTTGGAGGGCCGTGGATGAGATCAAAATGGCGACATCAAGGGAGGACGACGATTTCAACGATTGAAGCAGTCGGATTAAGCCAGTGGCGACTTTGACATGGCTTAAGGTTAGGGTAAGGGGCGATTTCCGACGTGCTTTGGGGTAGGGCTTTCGAATGGCCCTGGGATGGGGGGGAGGTACGTGTTGGGGTAGGGGAAGGTTCGACTGGAGACTGCCACTGGTGATCTTGGGTGGGGACAAGTGGTGGGCAGCGGACACGATTGGAAGTTATGTCACTGGCTTCTATATGTGGCATGGAATTGTATTGTTTGGTTGGTAACTGGCTTGTTTGTAATTGGCCCGATTGAAAAATAGTTATTGTAGCATTGAGGTGGTGGTCATTGTAATCATGAGTGTTGGTCATTGTGGTTTGCAATAGGGTTAGTAAATGTGACTAGAAGTGGTCACTGACAAGAGTCACCGTGTCAATCGGTCATTGGGCGGATGTCACTTTAGGGTTGGTCACTGTAAATGGGTCAATTGGTTTAATAGGGGTGAATTGGGATGTTTTTACTTGAATTATAATTTGCTGGTCTGGTTTGTTTAAGTTTGGTCTGGTAAATGTCTGACATGTGTGTATTTTATAACTACAAAAGTCTGATCTGGTGTAATCTGTTTAAGTCTAGTTTGCTCTGGTTTGTTTAAGTCTGATCTGGGACTGAAAACAGTCCAAGTAAAAACATCCGTGACCCATTTGCTCTTTTTAATTACATTTTTGGAAATTAAAACAAAAGGTCACTTTTTTGTCCATTCTCTATTTTTTAGTAATATTCGTGGCAAACCCCTAAAATAAATGTATGAAATGTGTAAACGTGAAATGATATGTAGTATATGCTAAACATGTATTTGTCATATCTAAATTATTTATTTATATCCTAAAGATCAATAGTCAAGACATACAAAATATTTTTGTAAATATGACAACTTGTTCAATTCGGTTTACGGTATTTCAATTTACAACCAAATCACCAACCATTAGATTTGAACAAATTATTACCAAACGATTTACTTAAGTTAACCCAGACCAAGGTATCAATTTCAGTTCGAACCATTTTGCCCAATCCTGCTTTATATGCAATGACTATATAAGTAATTTTTACTATTATTATGTTGAATTTTACATTACACTAATTTTATCACATTTTTGAGTTTAATTTCAACAGTGTTTACGGAAAAACCTATTATTTTTGTTTTATTTCAAGTAATGTTTTTTGTTTTCGAACTATTATTAAATAACTAATGATTGGAATAAAATTGGAAGGTACACTAGGCTTTTAAAATAAAATAAAAAATCTAAGACATTTTGAAAAAAGCTACGGGTTTTTCATTTTTGGCATTTTTGCATCAAATAATCAAATCAAGAAACTATTTATGTAACACTAAAATAGATGTTTGACTGTCAAACCAAAAAGCCAAAAATGGTTGAGAATGTGTTTACCAAACACCCCCAAATGATACTTTTTGTTAATACCGAGTGATTCTAATTTCACTGAACTAATCCTGAGATGCAAAGAAGATGTCCCAAACCCTAGAGAAGTATATTTGAGTCACTTGAACAATCCGCTAAGTTCCCAATGATCCATCTATGCACCACAGGGCACAAGAAATCGCTCTCATCTTATTGGCTTCACATGTCCTCAGGTTCCTAATGTAGCTCTCTGGAGATCTGCCACCAACTGATCAAACACTGTCAGGTTCTCGGCAAGAAGCTAACTCTCACACGGCTGTTTGAGGTGAGACACACAGATACACATTGCCTAGTCGTGAAGACCGTGTCAACAAACAGAATAATAGGGGAGCCTGAATAATAAGACAGCGGTTCCAGAATAATAAGGGAACTTCAAACCGCTAAGAGAAGTCAAAACTGAATCTGATCCAACCTGCCTCCATGTATGAACTGATGAACGGAAAGAAATGGGATCACCAACATGTAACTGAAAAGAGCATGTTCGCACAAAGGCGCGAGCCAAGCTCAATGCCCGTACAACTAGACTAGGTTTATGATGAGCCTGCCTGGCTGCCTGTATAACTGGACTAGGTTTCCAGATGATGGGCCGTCAGGAATTTGGACTGAGTTCAGAGTCCTGTCACTAAACTATGGGAATTCTAAATGTGATAGTTCTATCTGGGGTGTTACTATTAGCAACAACGGAAGGACGCGTATAAAAACCACTACAAAGAAGAAATTAATTAGTAGTATGCACGGGGAATATAAAGATCAGATAGATCGGATAGACAGCAGATCAGATAAGACAGCAGGTAAGTTAAAGCTAGTTTTGGGAAACTTCAAATTCAGCACCAATTGGAAGATGATCACTTGGATGGTAGTAATTGGGCAATCCACCTTGTACATCACATGACTCTGGTTCTGGAAGCTCAAGGCAGCCTACTGGTTTAACATCCCCAGAAGGTGAAAATAATATATAATCAAGGGTTCCAGTAAACCCTGGGGTGCAGTTCGTGAAGTGTGGTTCCCCTTTAGTGTATGCATATACGCTACATAGAGGTCCCAGCAAAGAGGTGGTCATATCAGAAACAAGGTATTGATATACCTGAAACCAAGCAATTTGAAGCAGCATGTCAGGGGTGATTCAAAGCAATGCCCCTACTACAAGCACGTACGTACATATTGATTTTCTAACTTGAAGAAACCCCAAATAATAATAAACAAGTTGTTTAGCATTATACGACTACTTCAATAGTTCACATCTAAATTGCAATGAATGTGACAAACGACCCCCGGATGATAAAAGAAAGCATGACAATTCCAATCATGACAAAGGTGGGAGCCTTTGCGGCACTGGGGTAATGATGATGATGATGACGATGATGATGAAATAAAATAGTCAGTTTTATAAAACAAATCTATATTTTCGTGTAATTTCCAAAAAACGTCTTACAGACAAATTACAAATGATGAATTTAGCCAACCCCAAATTAAAGTAGGAATATATGATTTATTATGAAAGAGTACCTTTAGGGCATTTACCAAAAGTAAAAAATTTGTAGCTTGGTCAAATACACCTCTTTTGGGGACAAAGGCAGTATTAATTTTCTTAGCTCAAAAGTTATTAAACGCTACCTGGTAGCAAGAAACAACTTTTTAGATTCAGAAAGTCAAGATTACTAACTTGATCCCCAGGGACTGAATTGAAGTCACCCGCAACTATTATAGAAGGTATGACGCCAAGTTGCTCTGACACTCTTGACTTGAATTGAGCCAAGCGAGATAACAAATATTCAGCTTGTGCAAGCTTGACATCCACCCATTCTGGATCCCTGGAAAGGCAATTAACCACAATTACAAAGATAATATGTGTCTATGCAAGTACATGTAAGAATATATAAAATTGTGTATAACTCATGCCAAACAGATCCTCAAGAGGTGGGTGGGGTTCCTCACCATTATATACCAGATTCAAACTGACCATGTTAAATTAGATTTAACTCATCCTAAAAAGATCCTCATGATCTGGGGTTAACCGAACACTTGTATAATAAATTTAAACTCAATAGCCAACAAATGTGAATCACAGTTCATGTTTGAGTCACATAGAGATAATTGTAGAGACATTAAGAACTACATCATGTAAATTAAGGCAGAGGCTTACCAGTAAATGTGGGTATTTGCGACAATAATGTGATGACAAGGACCATTGAGTTTGAAGGCAGCCATAATACCAACACAATCGCGTTTAAGTCTCAGACGAGGATCATTAGGATCTCCACGATCTGTTTGAGTGCTTTTCAGCTCTGAATCTCAACATATAGTATACAACATATAAGCTAAGTACAAAAATAGACAACCATATGAGTAAATAATCTCGCTGAAAAACTGAATCTTGCACTGCGCAATTAGCAAATTAATGGTAAATCTGTTAGTGATAATCTTATGGTGATTTTCAGTCTTAAAACTCAACTACATTGCAATCAAGCATAATTAAGTGGATTAAAAGATCTGGATGCTTCAGTTATTACTTATTATCCCCAATATCAATCACAGTAATCGACAATTAGGGCCCATTTGGAAGTATTAATCAGATAATTCTGCTTATAAGCTGAATAATCAGAGAAGTCAGCGTATCTAGCCATTTCATCCACACAACCCATACCAAATGAGACCTAGATCTGATAGTGGTATAATTGGAATATGATGTATGGGAAACTATACAAACAAGGTGGGACACCAGTGGACAAGAAGGGGGCTTTAGCCCCCCGATACTTTTCCATGTAGTAGTAGATATATCGATATTTTTTTTTGTGTGGTGTCTATATAATTATATGTGTCTCTCTCTCCACATATACAACCACATATGTATATATATAATATATTCCCATGAGTGTGTATGTATGTGTGTGTTCCGCAAACAAGTTTATGTTTGTAAAAAGGGCAGTCTCGTGCACATTGGGTGCCCCCGCAAAGCGAGGGCCCGGGGAAGGGTCCCACTACAAGGGTGTATGGGTATTAGGGGGCAAGCCTTCACTTGTGGCCTTGTCATTTTGACAAGAGATCGCTCCCGAGACTTGAACCCGTGACCTCTCGATCACATAGCAACACCCTCACTGGTGCGCAAACGCCACAAAGTCAACAAAGTTATGTTTCTATTTGTAGATTATTACAGATAATTACTCATCCGATTTAGCATTTATGAGGAGATATCTTAGAGATCTCAGAATCTCTAAATATCCCCAATTATCTTGTCTTTGTTAGGGAATCTTAATTAGGAGGATTCCTTCCTTATTCCACTTTTCTCTAGCTATATATATTCTGTATTCATCTCATTGTATTACATAGAATAAGAGAAATAAAATACATTTTACTTTCTCAAGTTATTTCTACATGGTATCAGAGCGTGGTTATTCTCTAAAATGATTAAGTTCGAATCCTATGGGATGACCACCGAGAGAGATGGATCTATCCCAGTCACCTCTGAACATTCAGAGGTTGTCCCAACTGGAGATGGCAGCAACCAGAATATCAATGGAAGCACAGTCACCACTCCTAATCAGTCAGATTCGATTATTACTTGCCATAAACTGAATGGTAGTAATTATCTACAATGGTCTGAGTCCGTTATGATGTATGTGTGTGGAAAAGACAGGGAGGACTATTTGACAGGTGATGCACCAGCTCCAGATCAAGGAGATCCAGGCTACAAGAAGTGGAAAAGGGAGAATTATACTGTGATGTCATGGCTCATCAATTCCATGACAACCAGTATAGGAGAAAATTTCCTACTATACAAAACAGCTCAAGAGATCTGGGAGGCTGTGAAAGAAACATACTCAACTTCAGATAACACTTCTGAATTATTTGAGGTTGAATCAATGCTACATAACCTTCAGCAGGGAGAATTGAGTGTAACTCAATACTTCAACAACCTTGTGAGACTCTGGCAGCATCTTGATGTGTTTGAGACATACAATTGGTCATGTTCTAAGGATAAGAAGTTATATCAGGAGATCTGTGAAAGGAAGAGAGTCTTCAAATTCCTGTCAGGTTTAGACAAGAGTCTAGATGAGGTTAGGGGCAGAATAATGGGAAAGAAACTCACCCTTAGAGAAGCCTTCTCAGAAGTCAGAAGAGAAGAAAGCAGAAGGAAGGTAATGATGGGTCTGAAATCTCAAGGCCAACAACAAAATATTGAAGGGTCAGCCTTATATACCTCTTCCAGACAGAATGAAAACAAGAAAAAAGGGAGGCCATGGTGTGATCACTGTAAGAAACCAGGCCATACCAAAGAAACATGCTGGAATTTGCATGGTAAACCTAAAGATTTCAGACCAAGCAAAGGGAAAGGAGCCTATGTAGCTACTGGAGATAAAGAAGATATGGGCACTTCTAATCTTGTTGCATTTACCAATGAGCATATTGAGGTTCTTCAACACCTAATAAGTCAGAGCAAGGGGCTTGCACCATCAACTAGCCTTACTGCTCAAACAGGTAATGCCTTAACAACCCTAGTTGCACACAATCAGCTCTATTGGATTGTTGATTCAGGGGCATCAGATCACATGACTGGAGACAGTAAGTTTTTTGCTGAATTGATCCCTATGAAGAATAAGGTAACTGTGAAGATTGCTAATGGAACTACTTCAGCAATAAAAGGGACTGGAAGAGTCAAAATTTCTGACAAGATAGTGCTTAACAATGTGTTATATGTTCCAGATTTAAAGTTTAACCTCTTATCAGTCAGTAAACTGAATAGTGATACACATTGCCTAACTAAATTCTCTTCACAATTGTGTGAATTTCAGGATTTGGATTCAGGGAGGATGATTGGCAGTGCTAAGCAAAGTGGTGGACTCTATCTTCTGGAACATTCACCACATTCACCCAACTCCACCAACAAGACAACTTCCAGTGAGAGTCAATTCAACCATAAGTTCTTAGGGAGTCTTAGTAGGAGCCAATTTGATACTCAAATTCAGTTATGGCATTATCGTCTTGGTCATCCTAATGTCTTGTACTTAGAAAAAATATTTCCTTCATTATTCATAAATAAAAGTTCTGCCTTTGATTGTGAATTTTGTCAACTTGCTAAACATACTAAAAGTCACTATCCCAGTCTACCTTACAAACCATCTAAACCTTTTTCTCTCATCCACAGTGATGTTTGGGGCCCATCCAAGGTCAAAAATCTCACTGGCTCAAGGTGGTTTGTTCTGTTTATTGATGATCATACACGTCTATCCTGGGTCTTCCTCATGAAAGATAAGTCAGAAGTTAATATTATCTTTCAAAAATTCTATTCTATGATCAAAACTCAGTTTCAAACCAAGATTCAGGTTTTTAAAACTGATAATGCCAAAGAATATTTCTCATCCAATTTAGGAGAGTTTCTGTCAAAAAAGGGGATTATACACATTAGCTCCTGTGTTGACACCCCACAACAGAATGGGGTGGCAGAAAGGAAGAATAGACACTTACTGGAAGTTGCTAGAGCCCTTATGTTCACCACTCACACTCCTAAACACTACTGGGGAGAGGCTGTCCTAATTGCAGCTTACCCGATAAATAGGATGCCCTCCAAAACTCACAAATTTAAAACACCATACCAAATCCTATCTTATCTACATCCTCACATCCCTATTACCAATCTTCCACCAAAGGTCTTTGGTTGCAAAGCATTTGTTCACAACCATTCTCCAGTTAGGTCAAAACTGGATCCTAAATCCTTACCTTGTATATTCATAGGATATGATGCCAACCAGAAAGGATATAAATGTTATTCTCCTGCCACCAAAAAGGTCTACATCACAATGGATGTAACCTTTTTTGAAAATCAGCCTTTCTATTCCAAAACTGAATTTCAGGGGGAGAACCACAATGAAATCCAGTCTTTGAATCCTATTTCAGACACTATTCCAGACCTCCAAGAATCTGAATCTAACCACACTGAATCCATACTCCCAGACAGACCTGAATCAAACCCTCCAGACAATACAGTCTCTCCACCAACCACACCATTTCAGCCACCAACTTCATCACCCCAATCATTACCCCAAAATCCTACACTAAATCAAAATTCTCCATTCTACAAGAATACCTATAAGCGGAAACCTAGAACCAGAGTTCCAGAAGAAGAGCACATCACTCCAATTAACACCAACCAATCATCTACTCAAATTTGAGTCCTGATGACAAAGAGGTTGAGGCTATAGAAGGAGATGATGAGGAACCAGACTTGCCTATTGCTATCAGAAAGGGAGTAAGGGAGTGTACCAAGCATCCTATCTATAATTTTGTTTGTTATAAGAAACTATCAGCAAACTATCAAACTTTTATTTCAAAGATTGATAGTATTCAGGTTCCTAACAACATCAAGGAAGCACTTGAACATCCAGGGTGGAGGAAGATTGTCCATGATGAATTAGCAGCATTGAAGAAGAATGGAACTTGGGTGCTTACAGATTTGCCAGCAGGGAAGACAACTGTTGGCTGCAAGTGGGTATTTACAGTTAAATATCAGGCTGATGGAAAGATTGAAAGGCTGAAGGCAAGGCTGGTTGCTAAGGGGTTCACCCAATCTTATGACATTGATTATTCAGAGACATTTGCACCAGTGGCAAAGTTGAACACCATTAGAGTGTTGTTATCACTCGCAGTGAACCTAGAATGGCGATTACATCAACTAGATGTTAAGAATGTCTTTCTTAATGGAGACCTAGAAGAGGAAGTATTCATGGATGTACCACCTGGATTAGAAGACTTGGGGAAATCTGGTCAGGTTTGCAGACTGAAAAAGTCCTTGTATGGACTAAAGCAGTCTCCTAGAGCATGGTTTGATAGGTTCACAAGATCAGTTATTAAACAAGGGCTCATGCAATGTCAGGCAGATCATACACTGTTTGTAAAGAGAGCAGACTCTGTAAAATTGGCTATTCTTATAGTATATGTTGATGATATTATTATGACTGGGGATTATAAGGTTGAATTGGACAGATTGAAGGCTCATCTAGCAAGAGAATTTGAGATCAAGGAGCTAGGCGAGTTGAAGTACTTCCTCGGAATGGAAGTGGCAAGATCTAAGAAGGGCATTTTCATTTCACAAAGGAAATATGTTCTAGACTTGCTAAGTGAAACTGGAATGCTTGGGTGCAAGCCTATGGACACTCCTATGGATATATCAAAGAAGTTAGGCAGTGAGACTGAAAGTCCACCAGTTGATAAGGGTAGATATCAAAGGCTGGTAGGGAAGCTAATCTACCTATCTCACACACGGCCAGACATTGCTTTCTCAGTAAGTGTGGCAAGTCAATTCATGAATGACCCAACCGAGGAACACCTAACTGCAGTGTATAGAATTCTGAGGTACCTAAAAATGACTCCTAGAAAAGGATTGTTGTTTCAGAAACAAGGGACAAGGAAGATTGAAGTGTTTACAGATGCTGACTGGGCTGGAAGCCTCTTAGACAGAAGGTCAACTACTGGTTACTGTACCTATGTATGGGGTAATTTAGTCACCTGGAGAAGCAAGAAACAATCAATGGTTTCTAGAAGTAATGCGGAATCTGAGCTCAGAGCTTTAACACAAGGAATCTATGAAGGATTGTGGTTAAGAAGATTGATGAATGAGCTCAAACTCCCATTTGAAAGCTCCATCCAGATCTCATGTGACAACCAGTCTACTATCAGTATTGCTAAGAATCCTGTTTATCATGACAGGACCAAACACATTGATATAGACAGAAGGTTCTTATCAGAGAAGATTGCATCAAAGGATATCCAGCTGAACTATGTTCCAACCAGACAGCAAATAGCGGATATACTCACCAAGGCACTTCCCAGAATTCAGTTTGAAGACTTATCTAGCAAGCTGTGCATGGATAATATCCATCACCCAGCTTGAGGGGGAGTGTAGATTATTACAGATAATTACTCATCCGATTTAGCATTTATGAGGAGATAACTTAGAGATCTCAGAATCTCTAAATATCCCCAATTATCTTGTCTTTATTAGGGAATCTTAATTAGGAGGATTCCTTCCTTATTCCACTTTTCTCTAGCTATATATATTTTGTATTCATCTCATTGTATTACATAGAATAAGAGAAATAAAATACATTTTACTTTCTCAAGTTATTTCTACACTATTATACTTAGTTCCTATGATGAGAACATAAAATTGATAAACAACAGTAGAAACCGTTGCCCAGAGCCAATAGGCTGAAATCCAATTTTCTTAATTGATAAGAAAGAATAGACCCAAATTAAGGGCTCAAATACCCATCTACTAATTCCAAACTAGGAAACAGAATCATAGAAATCCTAATTAACTCCAAATAGGAAGCAAAATCATTGAAATCTTAATTAACTCCAAATAAGAAACAAAATAATAGAAATCCTAATGGAATCAATTAAAGGGCCCGCAGCTAGCCCACGAAGATTGAAATCTGTAAACTGGCTCACAAAGCTCTCTTTAAACCTAGGATCTGTTTTAAATAAGAGACACTTCTTCAGCTCTTGAACCAAAAAGGAAAAAATTATCTTCCCCAATTTCCTCTTTGATTTCCATATTAGTCACATCCAGTGTTCTTATGATTAGGCACCCATTGAGTGCAAATTTCATATTGCTAGTCCCACTGGCCTCCATGCCAGATGTACTGATGTGTTGTGAAAGCTTACTTCCTGGGACAAGCATTTGTGCCACTGACACGTTGTAATGGGGTATAAATCCTACCTTCAGATAATTATTGACTTCGGGGTCACCGTTTACAACATCCCCAACATTTGTTACCAGTTTGATGATACGTTTTGCATTTGTATAAGTTGCAAACGCTTTCCCCTCAAACATTAGAGTGCGAGCTGTTGTATTCTTACACTCTCCATGACTCATCTCCTTCAGTTTCTTGTAGAGATGCACCACACCCAGTATATTGAGAAGTTGCCTTTTGTATTCATGGATGCACTTGATTTGTATATCAAATAGAGTATTTGGGTCAATGCTCACATCGGCCCTCCGCAGTATGTACTGTGCCAAACGCTGCTTGTTCACCATCTTGACCGCTTCCCTTGAACATAGAGTTTTTCATCATCAACAAACTGCCGCAGATTAGCAAGTAAATCAAGATTAGTAACCCACTCATCGCTTTTTAACCACTTAGTGATTATATGACTCAGCTCCGGTTTGCAAAACCTTAGCCACCGCCGTGATGTTATGCCATTGGTTTTGTTTTGGAATTTGGTGGTGCATAAAGAGACGTAGTCAGTGAAAAATTCAGCCTTTAAAATATCAGTCTCGCTGGGTAACACCCTTCATTGTGTGCAAAGAGATGACACACAAGTTAGCCATGCGCACCACGGGCTTCTCGCGTGTCAGATATCTTACTCTCGAGATAAAGGCTTTTTTATTGTACCACTGTGATGAACAGCTTGTCAGTTTCTTGAATGATTTCCATATGTCATGGAAGAAGTTTCCACATGACTGCTTGTGACCATTTTTTAAGTGCTTCAAGAAGGACAGTATCATTTGTATAAGCAATCGTCCTTGTGGTTATATCCCAGGCATCATCCCCACCTTCTCCTTCGTCATCCATTAATAACCGCATTAGCTCCGGGATTGCAAGTGTTGGATGTGTGCCATTCATTTGTACCGCCACTTTTGATGGAAATGAAGACCAATCAAGGCTACCCTTCCCATCATTCATCTCCTTAAATCTGTATATGATGTCCTGAAGTTACACACTACTTAGCAAAAATTATTGTTTGTCTTAAAAGTATTCCACTTTCTGTTGCATCGGCGGGATCAAAGACAGCACAAATCTGGTTAGCACTAGAATGAAGTTGTGTAGCAGATTCATATTGACCACTGTTAAATTAAAATAAGTTTATGTCCTCTGCACTAGCTTTGGCCTCCCAAAGTCTGACTATTTGCGTTCTTTGTTTTAATACCAGGAATTGGAACATCATAAACCACCTGTATGACCTCCCCACTAATCCCTTTCTGGGAGCCATTGGGGTCAACATGAACATCAGCAAAAAAACTGACGGGAAACACAATGTCATACCTTGCACTTCCCAGGGACTGAATTTCTCAAGCCAATCTTCAGTAACTTCTTCTTTGTCTAGCTTCCGTAATATGTTGCTTGTATAGTCCATACTCGTACCTCAGTCCATAACCCCAGGCTAGCAAATCTAGGGTTGCCATGGAATCAAGAAAGCAAGAAGCAAGCCTTCCCACCCCACCACTTCCTAGTGCTACATCTTTCTCCTGCTCAATAATCTCCTCAAGTCCACACGCAGATGTCGACGCAGCATCCGGTGACGCCGCTGCCGATGAGGGGGTCCTTCTGTCGGCGGCGGCATCAGAGTCTTCGTGAGCGAGGTGAACGCAGCGAATGAGGCTGTGATAAACAGTAGAAACTGTTGCCCGGAGCCAATAGACTAAAATTCAATTTTTTTAATTGATAAGTAAGAATGGAGCCTAATTAAGGGTTTAAATACCCATCTACTAATACCAAACTAGTAAACAAAATCATAAACATCCTAATTAACTCCAAATAGGAAACAAAATCATAGAAATCCTAATCAACTCCAAATGGGAAACAAAATAATAGAAATCCTAATGGAATCAATTAAACGGCCCACAGCTAGCCCATGAAGGTGGGATCAACCCCATCCCCGCTTGCGGTAAACCTGAAAAGGTCTGGGTCTCGGACCCTCCTCTTCCGCACACCCCCTGCTCTCTCTGTTCTCTATCATCTTACTAAAAAAATAATGTAAAAACTTAAACTAAATAAATAAATAATCCAATGAGAACATTGACATAGCCTTAAATAATTTGGTATTTGTGCTCTTGAATTAATTTAGTTCAGCACCCCTGCCCCCATGAATGAAATCATTACTCCATCCTTGTAAACGCAGAAACCCAGAGGTGGAGGTTAGCTAAGAGTACCATTTGTTGATTTAGAACTTTTTCTACTATTTGGTAGATCATCATCATTTAACTTCGGCCTTGTAGCTTCATCTTGAATTGAATTAATGAGATCATTGTAATCTATTTTTTCTTCAATAATCAACTCTGCGTTGTTCACAAAATGCATAAGAGTGTAAGGAGTCATCCTATTTCTTGACTTCTTGTACACAAAAGCACTCACATGGTCTAGTGTCTAGACCATAACAAAGATGATATTCAATAACAAAATAAGGGGGGACAGGAAGTCAGAATCAGAAGGGGAACTAATACAGGAAAATGAGGAACTCTTAATGTTTATTTTAGAGCATAGATTACATTCTTAAAAAATTAAGTTCCAAGTTAAGTGATACTTCATACGTTTTTGGCTTATAAAAGATTCCACATCCATCACGCTTCTGCCCGCCTCTTTGAACATAGATACTTGAATAGCCAAAACACTCAATAATTTTTTTATAGAAGCTATCGTACTCATCCAGTTCCTGATACATAAAATCAAATACAGAGGATTGATAAAGCTAATCACTGATTCTAAAAAAGATGTGCAAATTCAGTTGATAAAAAACGTGTTCCCCAACCTGTAAGCAAAGAAAATCTGACCCTATGCCTTTAAGAACGGTCAAGATTGCTTGAGATCGGGCTTTCCACCTGTTGCAATAGTAAGGCTTATATCCATATACAGAGTCAAACTATAATGTTATATCAAACTGATCATATTATCATTATCATTACCCCAGTGCCGCAAAGGCTCCCACCTACGGTAGGATAAGAGGGGGTCGGATGTACGCAGTCTTACCCCTGTACTAAAGCACAGAGAGACTGTTTCTGGATGACCCGCGGTGAAAATTGCGTCCAAAATTGTATAGACTGACTGCTACTTCATAACAAAGAAGCGCATACAGTTTAGTGAGCCATTTTGATTTATATCAAGCTGATACGAGCCTAAATTTTTATTTTATAGTACTTTCAGATATAATTCATGTTCCAAGCCAATATAAAGGAGGATGATGGTATGGTAGGCGCGTGACAGCTAACAGTATCACTTAGTGACATCACATGAATCAAAATATGAAAATCGCTAGACCTAGATCGTCACCCATAAGTGATGGGTCATCCTTCCATCTGGGGTGGTGTCAAATATGCAAGGGCACGCTACACTTCATAGGCCGGGGTGTGGTGATAAGAATGCTAAGGTTGCTAGGTCGTCGTCCAGAAGCGGCGTGCCACTCAATGCTCAAGGATGGTGTCAAATATGTAAGAGTGTGGTGGGGGTCGAGATGTTGTTAAAAATAGAAAGTGGGATGCTACATTGCGCTTTGACACATGGGATGTTTGGTCTCTTAGGGGAAGATCAGTCAAGGTAGTTGAGGATATGAGAAGGAGGAATATTAACATTATGTGCGTGTAGGAAACTAAGAGGGTTAGAGAAAGCACAAGAGATTAATTCAGGAGGTCTTACGTTATGGTATTCGTGGAGAGAAAAGACCAAAAATATTGATACAACTAATCGTCTCCCGTGAGTAACGTGACATTCTTCCTCTTGGGAATAGTGTAAAAAATGCAAGGGCGCGTTACACTTCATAGGCTTGGGTGTGGTTATAAAAATGCTAAGGTTGCTAGGTCGTCACTCAGAAGCAGCGCGCCACTCTAATGCTCAGGGATGATGTCAAATATGCAAGGGCATGGTGGGGGTTGAGGTGGTGTTAAGAATAGATGGTGAGGTGATAGATTGTGTTTTAGGACAAGGAAAGTTGGGTCTCTCACGATAAGATCATTTGAGGTAGTCGAGGATATGAGGAGGAGAATTATTAACATTGAGTGCGTGCAAGAAACTAAGTGGGTTCGAGAGAAGACATAAGAGATTAATCCCAAAGTTTTTAAATTGTGGTATTCAAGGAGAACAAACACCAGAAATGGAGTAAGCATTATTGTGGGGTGTGACTATGTTAAGGACGTGGTGGAAGTAGGAAGAACGACTGTATTACGAGCATTAAATTGGTGACAGGGGATATGGAAAGAACTTATGCACCACAAATGCGATTGGATGCATTTATAACTCTACATTTATGGGAAGATTTTGAGGAAGTGGTACGATGAGTGACAAGGAGAGAGCAATTGGTCATACGAGGTGACCTCAGCGGACATGTGGACCCCGATGGTTTTGAGAGTATTCATGTAGGACATGGTTTTGGCTAAGAAAGTCGTGAAGAAAGCACGAGGAACAAAGAGTTGTATGTGCAATTGGACTTTATGGAAGGAGAAAAATATATTTAGAGACTTGCTCGTATTTGTGATCGTAGGACTCAAGATATCAGAAAAATTAAGAGTGTGAAGAATGTCGATTAAATGGTACTACAGCGCAAGATATTGATGATCTTATTATACAAAAATGTATGCTAAATTGGGATTTTATGAGAAGGATTAACATAGTTGTCATGGCGCATGGCGATCGCCATGGCTCAAAGCCATTTTTCATGGAGCACGCCGATGGTGTATATACGAATGGCGCATATGGCTCATATGGCGCTATGACGACGACCACTTTTTCATGGCGGTGGCGCATATGGTGCACTATATCTCGCCATTGACTACTACGAAAGGATACAAACAAAGAATTTAAAAAAGTTATAAAAAAATGGGGCAGAAGAAAGCAGTGGATACAAATGACATACTGTTCAAGATCCGGAGAAGTTTGGGAGAGAGACGCCGAGTGGTTAACACTAGGGCTGGCATTTCAAACCAAAAAACCAAAAACTGAACCGAAAATAACTGAACCGTTTTGAAAAAAAACGAACTGAACCGAACAAAATTGGGACCCAAAAAATTGGGACCCGAAAAAAAATGGTTCGGGTTCGGGTTTTGTACACAAAAAATCGGTTTGGACCGAACCGAACCGACTATTTTATATTAATAAAAATAATTGCTATTATTAATAATAAAAAATAATTAAAGACATTCTATAAAGATATAATACATCGTGGAACATGTAATTGACGCATTAGACGCGTTGCATAGGTGGATGGGCAGCAGAACATACAACCTGGACATCAAGGGATCGATTCTCGTTGCCGTGTCCAAGTTTTTGGTTTTGTGATTTTGATTTTATCCTATACTACTTTGTCCCACACCGGACAAAGTCAAGTTTCCTACTCCTATAAACATTTATATAAAGTAGATCTCCTCTCAAATCTTGAAGCAGCAGCGGCTACGTGGGCTAATATGCATACGAGGCTGCAATTGGGTATATGGGCTCAAAAATGGGCAAGATTTGGGCCCAGTCAGTTATGGTTAATAGTTCAAATTTATTTATTCTTAATGAGTCAGTTTCTTTCGGTTTCCGAAAAACCGAACCAAAAAATCGGGTACCAAAAATCGGGACCCGTTTTAGGATTGGTTCGGTTTCGGTTTAGGTAAATTGGATAACCGCAAAATTGGTTTGATTTGTAGACATAGAGGATCGGTTTGGGACTCGAACCGAATCTAGTCCTATTTAACACGCTTCTTGAGCAAGATTTGGAGAAATAACAAAATGCCAGCAAGTTGGCAGAAAAGTACTATTATTCCCCTATTTAAGAATAAGGGTGATATACATAAATATGTCAACTATCGAGGGATTAAGCTTATGAGTCACACCATGAAACTTTGGGAGCAAGAGATTGAGCAAAGGCTCTGAAGAAGTATGAAGATTGAGCAAAAGCGATTTTGGAGAATCAATTCGGTTTGATGCTTGGTCGCTCAACAACTGAGGTCATTCACCTTCTTAGGCCGTTTGTGGAGAAGTATAGAAACACAAACAACGATTTGCATTTGGTTTTCATTGACTTAGAAAAGGCAGGGGTAGCTCGGGAAGTCATTTGGTGGGTTTTAACTAGAAAAAACATATCTCGTAAGTATATGAGCATCATCATGGATATGTATAAAGCTTGTACTACAAGTGTCCGTACTACACGAAGTGTACTCTATTACTATCGGAGTGCACCAAGGTTTTAACTAGAAAAAACATATCACGTAAGTATATGAGCATCATCATGAATATGTATGAGGCTTGTACTACAAGTGTCCATACTACACGAAGTGTACTCTATTACTATCGGAGTGCACCAAGGGTCGACTATGAGTCCTTTCTTATTTGTTATATAAGAGATGAACTTACAAAGTCAATTTCAAGAAGATATATTGTGGTGCATGATGTTTGCTAACGATATTGTATTGGTTGATGACAAACATTGGAGAATAAGAGGTTTAGGCTGATACGAAGCAAGACTGAGTATATGGAGTGCAAGTTTGGTGGAGGTATAAATAACAATAACAATGGGATTGCCCTAAATGAAAAGAGACACCGATCGGTAATATATTTCGTTAATTGGGCTTCATCATACAAAAGGATGATGACTAGATAGAAATGTATCACATGGAACCGGGACATGGTGGATGAAATGGAAAATTGTGTCAACATTTCTCTGTGGTCGAGGTATGCCGACTAGACTTATGTCGTAGACTGTTAGGCTGTGAAACATCATCACATTCAAAAAAATGAGTTTTGCTGAGATGAGCATGTGACGTTGGATGTGTGGTCATAATAAAAAACGATTGAGGAATGAGACAAAAGGTGGGAGTAGCGCCTATTGAAAATAAGATTTAAGAGTCTCGATTGCAGTAGTTTGGTCATGTGCATAGAAGACCGAATAATGCACCTGTTAGACGAGTTGAGAGGTGGGGAGGAGAGGAAGAGGAAGACTTAAACAAACTTGGATTAGAGGAGTCAGGAGTTATATGCTTCTGAGATTGGATAAGAGTATGACTTTGGAGAGAACAGAGTGAAGGGAGAATATTCATGTGGATGATTGATCTCTTCTCATTTTTTATCCTCTTGTCTTCTTTATCTTTCCTATATTCTTTATCCTTTAATCCCTTTTATCTTATATTTTAATCCTTTTTATCTTATCTTTTATATCTCTATCTTATATTTATTTGTATCTTATCTTTATCTTATCCTTTTTATCATACCTTATCTTTTTATCCTTATCTTCCTTATCTTTGTTATCTTGTAGCTCTGATTTCATGTGTCTATCCATGTTAGACGACCCCAAACTCTTTTGGGACTAAGACTTGGATGTTGTTGTTGTATAAGTTTTAGTTTCCGATTATTATATTCAGTAATATTTTTCTATTACATTTGAATTATATGATATTGCTGATGAAAGTTAAATCCATACTTTTACTACTCACAAGTTTTGGTAAGCATGTAAATAGAGTAATAACTAATAACTACTCCCTCTGTATTTTAATGTTTGGTACACTTTCCTTTTTGAGATGTATTTCAAAAATTGCTACACTTTCCCCTTTTGATAAGTTTTCCCTAAATCAATTAACCTTTTTTCTACTTTTTATATTCTCTTCATACTTTTACACTATCTCCTACTTTTTCTACATTATTCATCACTCCTACTACTTTCGTCCTTAAATAATGTGTCAAAGCCAAATGTAACAATCTTTAAAACACGGAGGGAGTATATTATTAACTATAAGGCTTTGACAGGATTTAAGTATGTAGTGTTTCTGTCAAGGACAAAACTCTTCCCCATAGTGTTCTGTCAAGGACAAGTCTACAATATCCCAACCATGACCATAACAAAAGTATGTTGACATGTTTTATTGACTTCATTACCAAAAATCGAAGAACAAATGCTTTTATAATGGGCAAGTAAGATGAAAGATGTTAGATGTACATCAGTATACACTAAAGATAATTTATGGCTCCACCTTAGTTGACTATTAAATAAGCAAAAGCCTTATGATCGGAGTGCTATTCTAAAGTTAACATGCAGGTAACTGACTAACTGGTAAACACAAAGAGAAACATAGATTTGGAAAACAGAAGATCCACTGCTGAATAGTGTTCTGGTACTAGCAGGGACTAGCAGCAATGAAGAACAATGGAGAAACAGTAGATGCACTTTTCTTGTTTGATGAGAAATGCAATATGTTTTATTGGTTTTTTTAATCAATAATCTAGTGGTAATAACAATTATTTGTATGCAACATTACGAATCTGTATGAGTATAAAATTATTTTTATAAGAGATTCAAAGTATAAAAGTTGTTAGCCAGCCCCAAAATCTTTTGGGAATAAAGCTTGGATGTTGTTGTATTCAAAGTATAAAGTAATTGTAAAGAAATACTCTCACTGTCCCCTTTGAATTTTCTTACTTTCTTTCTTAAAACATGCAATGATGCAAATATAACCAAATGAATCACGTCTATTATGTATAAACTATAAAGTAAGTGGTTTAATTTAACATTCATCCCATTATTTTTATGTCAAAAAAAAACTTCAAGTGCATATATTTCTTTAAAAATGAAAGAGAAAAGGGGTCCGTCCTACCATGAGCTAGACAATAATGATCCTTCAATCATATGGCTACCCCTTGCCACCGGCGATGAGTTGGTATACTAACCTACGGTCCTACGTACCAATGATAATCTATTGAATTGTTTGGGCTCCACGGCTAGACACTAATATCGGCAATTTATGTGATGATATAAGCACATTTCTTTTACATTTCTTTCTTTTTCAACAATTCGGGTGAATTTCAGTTGAAGTTCAGTTGCATTTAGATGCAATATATGAGAGATGTACACGTCTACACGAATTCAATTATAATAACTATTCTTAAACATTTAGCATGATGGTCATCATTGTATTAACTTCTAACGATTCCGATGGTGTTCCCGCATAGCATGGGCATATGATTCTTGATAGGCTAGGAGTGAGAAATACATTGCCAATAGCCAAAGGTGAAGTTGCGAGTGATGTAAACCAGAAAAGGAAATATGCAGCTCTGACTAATCAGGGATATTTCATCAAAAACGAAATAAATATTAAGTGAAATAGTGATGACTATCTAAGCCAACAACATACTTGAGACATGGTGACGGGGAGTGTGGAAATAAAGCACTCTTTACATAAGCCTGCAAAACAAAACATAAGTATGAAACTTGCAGAGAACTGCATTCTTGATGGCTACATAATCAACCGAAACCTGTAACAATACTTGAAAACTAATCTGCTACATAAGATCCAATTTCCCATATTCATTTATAATATAATCATAGAAGGTGAAAACGTCTAAATGTGTTACAAACTAAAACATATCTCAACTAGATACCACCAGTTAGAAATAGAATCAACGGACAGTGACAGAATATAATTCCATGCACATAATTTACCTGAGCCAAAATGTTATAAGACACGATACTGAACTTGAAACCTGACGCATGAAAACATACTTCAATCAACACCTATGGAGAGGTATCCGTCAAAATGGATTTTAAAAAGCAGAGAACTTTAGGGAAAGTGACATGCCTTCAGGTTTGCTAATTGAAGCTGATCCACTCTTTTCGATGGGAATGAACTTGGGGCACAATGGTTCAGGTGATGTGCTCATTTTGCTCAAGAAATTCGTTCTTTATGTATGCCATGAATTTGAAAAGAATATGATAGCTATGAAATATATGATGAATCTAAGAAGGCAGTAGTACATCACAAAGGCATAGCATCACTGGCACAGTTAGGAGGCCAGCCTAGACCCTAGCCACCCCAAATTTTAAAAATGCCTTAATTATACTATTAGTGTAAAAATTCATGTAAAAATCCAATTTTTTGTATAATAGGGCCAGTGCTCTAGCTACACCCTGCACATCATACAACAACAATGTGTTCTTACAGAATTTTGCTTCTCAATATGTCCCAATATCCATATGGATTTTATGTATGGACATATATAACTAGCTAATTCGTGGACATAGTCACATATGGATTTTATGTATGGGCATATATAACCAGCGAATTCATGGAAATGGTCACATAGAGATACCTCGAAGATGGGCGAGAAACTAAGCAGCGAGGAAGCAAGCAGACTATGGAGCTCTTCAGCATTATTTAAAATGCATCTGTGGCTGAAATAGGAGTAAACGCGGTAATACAGAAAAGTGGTTGAAAAACATGGTAAGATTTACCAGGGATATGTGTCCAACTTCGATTTGATAAAAATATTAACAAAATGGTTCAAATTGTAAAAGTTTTAATTGAGAATTGGGTATAAGCAGGGCCGTTAATAGATTTGGAGGCCCCGATTTTAAATTTAAAATCGAGGCTTCACATTAATATAAAAAAAAAATTGAAAAAAATATCAATACAAATACTTGTATTCAATCAATTGAATATTCATTAAAAACGAACTAAAAAGGTAAAAGGACCAATGAAAAAATGATGGGTCTATATTTTTCTTCCTAACTAAATGTATTTTCTTGATTAGTATTAATATATAATATTACTCCATATCATACAATACTAAAAGAAATTTAAAAATTTGGGGCCTCGTAAATCTGGGGCTCTGTTCTGGATAACCTATTGAACCCCCTAAAAAACGGCCCTGGGTATAAGGATGTTTTTACTTGGACCGTAATTCCTCCCAGATCAGACCAGTCCAGACCAGACCAAACCTGCAAATTACAATCCAAGTAAAAACATCTTCATAAAGCGAAACGTTGTACACAACATATTTAATTCCAAAAATGAAATGTGACACTTATTTTGAGACAACACAGAAAAAGAAAAGTGAGACAGATAAAATGGGATGAATGGAGCATGTTTTTCTTCGTAGAACATGTCAATATTTACTGTCATGTTATACGTAGTAGTTATTATTGTCAAATGATTACAGGTATTAAGCATTAATCATTACAGTATTTATTATTATTAATGACAGTAACAAATCTTATTTCAGCTAGAAAAACATAGTAGTCATATTTGGGAATTTCAAAAACTATTTACTCCTATCTAGGACAATTTCTCATTTATCTATCAATAATAACTATATATATGGCTATTAGCCCATAATCAGAATAAAATTACTTCGAAGTGCAATAATTGGAATATAATTCTTTTATGTTCCCCTTGATCAACATCGATCACATGACTACGTTGGTGCGCTCCTTTCCTTCATGTAGGGTTTAGTCTTCCGCCAGTCGTTCAGAGCTTGTGCGGCCAAAACTTTCAACCGTTCTTTTCCGCCGGCCAACCTGGGCTTAGTGCGGCTAGGGGATTTTAGCCTCGCGCATCACTCAGGCTTTGTTTTTTGTTGGCAGGTTCGTCTTCAACTGCTCAACACGGCAAGAAGGAATCATGGAGTTCATTGTTAACCAGTATTGGCACTTGGCTACACGACGGCTTCTCTTACACTTTCGATTGCTCAGTAGTAGAAAACGTTAAAGTTAAGGAGAAAGGAGATGAGGAAGATGCAATATTGTCTGTATGCCCCCCTCCAGAACCGTCATCGTGGAGGAATCGTGTGATTAGGTTTTGGAAGATTTCGTTTCAAGTTTAGATTTATTTTAATTATCTTGCTCTTATTTTTATTTTTGGGTCGAATTGAATATTGTTTTGGTTGTTTTCTTTATTTTTACTAGCAGAACTCTATAGTTTAGGTTGGGTGATAAAAAGTCCATTGCGTTCGTCATTAGCTCAGTTAAGCGCATTATAGGATTAAAGAGTCATATTGCTTTTTTGAAGGTGATAGCCCTGAGTCTGATTCGAGGGTAGATATTCGGAAAGGAACTTTTTGTTTTGTTTTTTGTATTTTGCATGAATTCTGATTATTCAATATAAGCCACTTTCTTCCTAAAAAAATCTTTTATGTTCCTTCTTCTTATTTTATTCTTTCTTATAATCCCCACTAAGACTTACTTTATTAATAATAAAATTATAGTTTTATTTGCAATAAAAACATAAGAATAATAAAATTATTTACGGAGTATAAATTTATAATAAAAATGTAAAAAACACAAAAAAGAACTTATAAAATAAAATGCATAAAGATATTAAAATATGTGTAGGCCTATGTCGCCCCATCTTCCACCTCCTAGCGATGCCACCTCTGATTACCAAGAAAATGTAATCTTGTATAAAAATGCCACATTCCCATGAAAATGTCATGAAAATGACATTTTTAATCTTCAAAAATACTAAGTTTTGCTTCCATAACTACCATCTGGATAATATTTTTTTACAATATATCTTGTTAGACCTCGTTGGGGTAGCGTGTTCTATTATTTCACATGATATTAAGTGAACAAAACAAAACCTGATGGAGAAATGGTTTTTACAAATAATTAATATTTTGGTCATTTTGGAGTTAAATATGTAAGGGGCACACATTTCTACTTTAATATGGGGCTAAGTCCTAACATATTATACTCTGAGATATTAACGTTAATATTTATTTGATGGATCGCCGACCTAGGGGCAGCCGGAATCCGAGAAAGTAAGTAGAGAAGATGACGGAAAAGCCTAAATCGGTATTTTAGCAGAGTAACAACAATAGAGTACAAGTTGTGGATCCCTTTCCACAAGTTGGAAGGTGATATTTATACTAAAGAAGTAATACTTGTTGTCCAAGTAAAAAAGATGATATTCTATTGTAAGGAGGACGTGTGTCCCCTTGTCTAACAAACTAAACAGACTGATCTAATGGGGCGATGCCACGTGTAAAGGTGATTGGAAAGATAATTGGGACAACTCGCTGATCGCAACTGCCTGTAACAAACAAACACCAGAATACAAGTGCGGATTACACGTGTATTATCTGGAATATTCTTCCGCTCGATGGCTGGGAGTGACGTGGCACCTCTCGGATGTAGGGATGGCATGGTAATAGCCTTACACAATGTTCATTTCTGTATATCGTCTAAGTTCATAGTGCTTGGTAAGTGATCAGACTAAACTTGCAAGTATACAAAAGTGCCGATGTAGTAATAAATTCCGGTAAAATACCGGGTCGAATCCACAGGGAAACGTCGTTTTATAAAGTTCGGTTTTGAGAATTAAAAGATAGAATAAAAGTAATTAAAATGCAGGTATTTTTGTTTGTTTAAGTGAATATATGATAAAATGACCAAGGCATCGGAATTCACCCAAACATTAACTAGAATTCAATAAAAGTTCTTTGTCAATTCTTATGAGTATGGCATCACTATTATATTACCGGCTCCGGTAAGGCAGTGAGAGTGTGGTTTTCGTACGTGTGAACCCCGTTACGGCTCACATTCATCTAGAGAAAACCCCGTTGAATATTAAGATACCACACACGCACCATACAAGATCGGGTATATTTCTATCCTCAATATTTTGTATGTTTATTCTTCTAGAGAATGATTTATATTGCAACGTTAATTGATCATATAAACCTCTAGATGTTATGCAACGTAATTATATATAATTAGTTTAAAGAGAGTAAAACGTGAATTACTTCTTCTAGTGTCCAATTGATATTTCAACGTTAGTTACTTCATATCAATACATGTATTATAATATTATGTTGCATAACATATATGGAAAATTAAACATAAGAAGAATGAATCATAAAATTTGACTTGGAACAAATATAAAAACTAGCGGGCGTAGAGGTTCATCCCGAGCCTTGGCTTAAGGAATTAGCCTCTAACGCTCATATTAATCAAAATTACAATACTTTAAATGTAGAAGAACATGTAAATATAAGGGAAATATAACCTAAACATCAATGGTTAGAAGAAATGAGCTTCAACACCTCAAGAACACCATGAAGAACAAAGAAAAACTATAAAAACTAGTTATGAACTAATGAATTAAATTGAGATTGGATGATGAATTTGGAATGAATTGAGGGGTATATATAGGCTTGAAAATTATCTTTGATGGTCTATTCATGATCCTCGATCAACTTGGGGCGGAATTCCCGAGGCATACCTTCCAAATATCTTCAAATCAACTAAAAATATCTGAGCACGTTGTCTGATTTTTCTGTAGATTTGGGGTAAATGGCGCCGATTTGGTGCAATTCTTGCGCCGGTTTTGTACTGGATTTTGAGGTTGTTCCGCTATGAATTTGGACATTATTCCTTCACCAAAGCTGTAGATAATGAAGTCTTCTATCCACCAAAGCTTAAATGACGTGCTTTTAATCATCCAATCAAAAGATATGGATAAAACATTGAGAGGTATGCATCCCAGAATCCCACCAGCAACATCTGACTTTATAAGTTGATTGAGTCTTGATTCTTTCATATTTTGGCCATGATGTCTTCACAACATTTGTATCTTATTGAGTTATCACTCATATGAAACTTCAAATCGATTCATTTTGAAATTTATACAATAAGTTATACTCGAATTTTGGGCAGAACATCATCTTCTTGGTTCAAAAAGACATTCATCACAATACTTTACGCTCTAACTCTTATCCTGAAGGTATTTGCCCAATTTCTCTTATTTTGTTCAACAAGTACGTATAAATACTTATGTTAAACACAAGTAAATATAACGACTATCAAATTCCCCCACACTTGAACATTGATTGTCCTCAAGCAATTTCTTTGTATTGATGCACAATTAGAGAAGAAACTAAACCATGCAAATTAAGAGTTTAATAAGATGATAAAAATTCAATATAAACTCTTTAATCTCTCTCGGGCCAAAATCCTTTTTCTATTACTCGCGATAAATGTATTTAAGATTAAGAAAAATATTTAAACACCTGATGCGTTTATTTACTGACAATTTAGGCAATGTGTGGGTATCTTGGTGGGTTTTTTTGTGGATTGAAGCTGGATTTTGTAGAGAAGGCTATTCTAGGAGAACATGATTTTTTTGCTTTTGTATATAAACTCTTTTTTTGTTCTCTGTAATTATATATCTAGATTGTCAGAAATGAGAAGAATCCGACAATAGAGTGATTTGAAGTTGGGATGAAACTTTTATTTTGAATCTGTACTCTATGCACATTTGTATGGATTTGGAAAATTATCACAATTTTGAGTGAAAGAGGTGGTTTCAAAATTAAGAAATATTTTATTTAATCTAAAATGACATTTTTTTGTGAGTTAAAGAAAATCTTTCTCAACCAAAACCCTTAAAAGAGCGAATATCAAAATTTTAACCTTCCTAGAAAAAATTTAATTTGCAAAGAAAAGTTTCTCAATTAATTATTCTCCCCCACACTTGATTTACATTGTCCTCAATGTAGAATGGAG